CCATATGATTAACTTTAAATTATTTGTTACATTATACCTATATAGGTTACAGTAATTACCCTAAAATGTCTCCTTTAAATTTTTTTTCATTTAAAAATCTTATTATGTATTTATTTCTTAGACTATGCAGCTCATGTTCAGAAAACCTCTAGACGTTTAAGCGATTTTATCAAAGGTATAATGCTTCTGTTGTGTGGATCGGTTCACTGTATTACAGTGTGGGTATAGGGAGGCATTTCTTACACCAAGCCTGAGATTAGACTCCTTGCCCCCAGAGAAACATAATTTTTTAAATATTTCAGCTTTGGAAAGAAATAATTTCTTTTAAAAAAAAATACATTTTATTGATTTTTTACAAAGAGGAAGAGAGAGGAATAGAGAGTTAGAAACATCAATGAGAGAGAAACATCAATCAGCTGCCTCCTGCACGCCCCCCACTGGGGATGTGCCCGCAACCAAGGTACATGCCCTTGACTGGAATCGAACCTGGGACCCTTGAGTCAGCAGGCTGACAGTCTATCCATTGAGCCAAACCAGTTCTGGCAGAAATAATTTCTTTATACAAATTGCACCCATCTCACAGAGCAGCCATTCCTCAGGTAAAGATTCCTTAGGCTTGTTCTCATCCAATCACAATAAAAAAGATAGAGAAGAAAGATAAGCATTAATAAGAAGTCTCTTCTTTGTCTAGCATCTTAGAACACATTCCCAAGCTCTTCTCAGTCTTTCCAAGGTTCTTTTTGGTATCCAGTTCATCATCAGGGATAGAGAGATAGAAACATCAATGATGAGAGAGAATCATTGATTGGCTGCCTCCTGCCCACCCCCTACTGAGGGTGGGAGGGATTGAGCCCACAACCCAGGCATGTGTCCTTGGCTGGAATCGAACCTGGGACCCTTTAGTCCACAGGCCGATGCTCTATCCACTGAGCCAAACCAGCTAGGGCAAACAGCTTTACTTTTTTACAAGGTTTATTTTTAAAGAAATCCTGTTAGGTTTACTAGGGCATCTTTACAATATAAACATGAAATAAGACTGATTTAAGCATAGACTGCAGGGTCTGAGTTATATTTTAGGACAATTTTCACTGACATATGTGAGTTATTACTTTGAAACTTTGCATTGTGCTGGTTGTTTTAAATTTTTGAGTAGTGTTCGTATTCTGTCATATCGGGAGAGATACTCTGCATTGAGCTTCTGTTGATTTGGAATTGTATCATTGTGATGGTTGATATTAGTGGTTATGGAAAGAATGTTCTGTGGCCTATTCTTCCTGCTAGACTGCATAAATTCCTTGTACTTGATTTAAAATAGGATAAATAAGTA